TTACAGCTAGATGCTAAATGGCAGCTTCCCGAGTGTATTCATACAGGGGCTTACCAGTGGATCCTCAGTATTTTGCAACTAATCAGACATAGCAAAGAGTGGTGTGCTGACAGCTGCTTTTTTTGGGGAGGGGAGGGTAGCGGGTGAGAGATACTTTTGTGAACTGAATACTTGTGTGCAAAAGCAGTTTTTATAGTACTGGGAATATCTGTCCAACTAAACAAAGTAGAGCTTGGCTTGGTCTACGACATCCACATGAGGAATTGTTCTGCATTCCTTTTGTAGCCTTCCCTGGGCTGCTCGGGGGTGCTCTAGAAAGATGAAAACGCAGGAGGATGCGGATGAGTTGGGTAGAAATTATAAAATAAAACAGGCCAAGAAGAGCAGGATAGCTGTGATCTGTGAGATGGCAGAGAGAAAAATTCCCATCTGGCTTCTCATGGGATAACTTTGCTGGAAGAGGCAAGACAGCTTCCTAAACTATCTCTGAGGAAGTAAAAGTATTTTTTTTTTTAATTTTATTTTTAAGCATGAACCCGTGGCTAAAAGTAAACTTGTAAACTAAACTTTTATGTAGGCCTGAGTGTTAATCTGACCGCGTGAAGAGGAGGTTTAAACCCACTTTGCCACAGGGCTGTTTGACATCCTAGAGTCACGTCACTTGTTATCACATATGCACTGATCCATTACTGTCCTGCAACAAAAACAGCATTCAGGGCACCAAAGTAGCTTGTTTAGCTGGGACTCTAAAGCAAACTCTGTCTCTTCTCTGCTAAAAGTGTTTTGTCCAGCCAGCCCTTGGGTAGCAGCGAAGGTTTGGTCGTGGCCCTCTTCATCCTAACTCCCAGAGCAGATATTGTTACAGGTTTTCATAAGTGTTTATTCTTGTAAAAATTTAAAGTAGATCTTGAAGAACAGCGAGATGCTTATGTTGCATTCACAATCTGAAATACATTTGAACATAAATATGTGCAATTTTTTTATTGTTGTTTGCTTTCTTTTTAACCTTACAAATTTTCGTGGCTTTTCTTTTTTTCCCCTTCTCCCTCGCATTACCTCAAACTGCTGATTGCAGCTTTTGGTAGATCAGACAATAGTAACTTAGCTGTTCTTGAAACTGTGCTGTCAAACAGCGTCGTG